TCTAATCCCTGCGGAGCCCAGATTGCAAAAAGCATGTTCCCTCCAGCCCTCATTAGCATCTGGCTGGGTCATGTCTCTCGCTTGCTAGTGTTTTCTGGTCAGTCTCATTTTTAAAACTGACCACTCACCAGAGCTTGGTGAATGCTCACACACTCACTGGGCAGAAATCTGCAGAGAACTTTCTGGCTTCAGAAACCTGGGGATGTAGCTCCTTCAAGCTAACTGAGGTGGCCCACGTGGGGTCCTGATGAGCCCATCCCATGATGCCTTCTGCGAGAGAACCAAGTTAAGGGGTTTCTGTAAGACACTTGGGGTCCCTTCTATCCTCAGGGAGGGGCCCCCATCCTTGAAGACTGTGGCTTCTGTCAGATCTGAAATAAGGACTGAAGATCAGATAGCAAGCCCCCTTCTACAGAAACAAACCAAAACGGGGGGTTGCTGCAGGGACCCCCAGAGCAGTAAAGGAGAGGTTCACTGTCTGGAAAGTTCCATATGCCAAGTCAAGCCCTGGTCCCCAGAGCACAGAGCCGGGCAACAGACCTGTTCCCTCGGCCAACATCTGGTGCCAGCTCCATGCGGGTGAACCTTGGGGTACTGAGCTGTCTTCCGCTGGGAAGTCTCTCTCCCTCCAGGCTGCTCACTTTCTCAGGAGTCCGCTCTCCTTCGCTGCATGCTCACCTGCCTGTTCAAAGCAGATGGGGAGCAGTTGTTTCCCCTGGAACTGAGTCTATCTGTTGAGGAACTATCTATTCTTTTTGGCAGGGAAAAGGGGAGCAGGGAGGGATAAACTCTGACGTCATGGGCCTGCGTAGGACAGCGGGGTTGGAGGCCATCTGGAGCAGGTGCTGGCAGGGCCCCTGGGAAAGGGGAAGGAGGGCAGCTGCCTCATCAGGTGGGGGTGTTCTGGGGTCAGACAAAGACTCATGGCATGATGAAGCTAAGCTTTCCTGGAATTTCTGGCCTGGGAAGGATGAATGATGCTTCCTTGGCCTCCAGCTCCTCTCCTAAGGCCAGGCCCATAGGTGCAGGACTTCAGGAGGGAGGTGCCCAGTTCAAGCAGACCTGGCTAGGCCTCTCTGTCCCCTGAGGTTCTGATCCACCAGACAGTCCTGGGATCCTGTGTACGTGCTGTGACATTCAGATTCCTCTGCCTCAGCTGCTTCCTGCTGCTTTTGCCAGGGCTGGAGGTCCTCAGGGGGCCTCTAGATCTACTCTGCCCCTGTCCAGGAGGCAAGGACTGTCTTCTCACTACTACAGGTGGTGACACTGAAGGCCCTGCACAGGGATGGGACTTGGCCAAGGTCCCGCTGCTATTTTCCTACCCAGCCTCCCCAAGAACTGCTCACTGCCTGTTTAGTGTCCTCTCTGAGAAGCTCTGCAGCTGGAAAGGGGCCCCAGGATGAAATAACTGCAAAGAAAACAGATGGGCCCCTCCTCAGTCCTTCCGTGGGAGGACCCGAGATTCGGCCTCTGCAGCCCCTGGCCGGGAGGGGGCGCTCTTGCCCACTTTCTGGGAGGGGCTGCGCCGTCTGGTCTGGCTTAACCAGATCCTCAAACTCCCCGAAGCCTTGCACCTTTCTTGCCTGAGAAATCCTGGCCAGGGCCCCCTCTCCTATTTCCTCCTGTCATGTTACACACTGGGCAGTTACTGTTCCAGGAAGGGCCCCTCTGTGATGGGCATGCTTTACCTTCCCCTTCTTGGATAGAATGAAGAGGCACCCTCTAGAGAGGGATCTTTTCTTCCAGATCCCCGCCCTCCAGGGGACCTGGGGGGGGGGGCAGAAAGAGAGAGAGAGAGAGAGAGAGAGAGAGAGAGACAGAGACAGAGACAGAGACAGAGAGGGAGAGAGAGAGATCCCAGCTCTATGCAGCACTCTGATGCCTGGCTCTGACAGTTCCCACTCCCTGCTCTCTCTGCCTTCTCCCCCAATTGATCGCTCTCCTTCGGCCTCACCTTTCAAGCTTGCATGATCCCCCCTCCCCCATTGGCTCCCACTTTAGGAAGACAAGCCCCTCCCCACTCTCTGTCACATCTCCTGCCTCCAGACCCCAGACTTGCCTCTCTCCCAGGCTTTCCTAATTCTGACACATAGGTTCTGCCACTTCACTAGCACCTAATCTGCCTCATTTTCTCTAGGTCATCCTTTGCAATCTTCTCATTTGAGTTTTTTATTTATTTTTTTTCCTTGGACAGTTTCTTCTGAGCCCAAGTCTGTTAGCCTGCTGGGAGTTGCTTTATTTCCTATCTAGGTTTTCCTCTCTTCCCTCCCCATCCTGTGTTTCTGGCTTGGCATAGAATCTCCTCTGGGAACCCACTTTGCTGACCCAGGCTGGGCCCCCCAGGGTGCCACTTCCCTGTCATTGCACCTTTCAGCTGACACAGCCAGTGTGTGTTTCCTGGCAGTTCTTCCCTGCTGGGATGGAAGTCAGGACACTGAGCAGCTTCGAGGGATGCTCTGTGGATACCTGGGAGATGGGTGACAAATGACAGGATTCCCTACAGAATTGTCAGGTCCCTAAGACCCAGAGGGCTCTTCTCCCTCCTTTGCTATCAGGAGTCTCAACAAGAAATCAGGACAGTGGCCTGAAACGAGCTCATTTCAGCTGCTCTGTGAGTTTCTGAGATAGACCCGTAGGACCGGGCAGAAGGAATAGACTACCCATGAGAAAGACAGGAAGGGGCCAGACCCCATATCTAGGCCCAGGAGGCAAACAACAGGGAGCGTGAAACCTTCCTATCTGCTGCACTTAGGCGCTGTCCCTCCCTGACATCCCTACAGCCCAGACCTGGAACTCCTACCCACCCTGCCCCAGCTAAACAAAAGCTGCTACGGCCTGCTCCAGGGAAGCTTCACTCTGCAGGTAACTCTTCAACTCAATGGTCAAGAGCCACAACTACCAGAAGATTCCCTTTGCAAAAAGGGGAAGTGGAGTGCAGGGTGTTGGCCCAGCCATGCTGGGATGTGGGTATTGGCTTAACTAAGTCCCAAAGATCAAATAGAGGGGAGACCTAAAGTCACGGGCCATCACCAAGTGACCCAGGGACACAGAAGACAGAAAGAAGAAGCCTACAGACACTGAGAAGGAGGTGGCCATGAGCATGGAAGCTTCCAACCTGCGCTTTTAAAGGGACTTTTAAAGGAGGTCACTGCTGCCTCAGAAACCAGCCAGTGTCTGCCTCTAGAGGCAGTTTGCCTGGCTCTGCTCAGCTCTTTAGGCAGGTATAAATAAAACAAATCTCAAAGAAGTTTGGCTGGTACCAGCCCTCTTTGTCCTGTAGACAAAAAGGAGAGAGAACTTGCATAGGCCACCTGGAAGCCGTCCCTCTTTCTCCTTGCTTCTCCTCTTTTCTCCTCAAACGGGAGTGCTATGACTCCATGGGTGGAAATGGAGGTGATGAGTCAACTCAGCAGAACTGGCAAAGGATGTGCAGGCGACATCTGGATCTTCCTAGAGGTCAGGTGATCTGCTGCCCCAAACTCAGACCTCACTAGTGGATTATCTCCTAAACAAAAAAGATTCTGGTAGCTATTGGTCCTCAGTTTATGACTCAGGGCACAAGGTTGGGAAGGGGCCATGGGAGAGAGACTGAGAGACTGAAAGAGCAGATAAAGGGCCCTTACTTCCTCAGCTCCAGACCTGGTTCCACTGCCGGAGCCACCTGGTGCTCCAAGCCTCTTGGCTCCAGCAGCCCTCCTGTCTCTAGTGAGGTCTCCTCTCCTTCCTCTCTCAGGTCCTTTTCACTCCTGGGGACCACCAGAAGCTCAGTCACAGGACATTCCTTCTCCACTTTCCTGCCTTCATCCTGCTCAGCACAGGGGGCAGAGTTTCCTGCACCTTGCTCACTTCTTAGAGTTGCAGGCCCTTCAGCAGTTGCATGGCCCAACAGGAGGCAGGAACTCCCCTGGAATTGGAGGAACCAAGACAACCAAGCCAAGGAGAGGGAGTCATCAGCAGCAGAGATACCTGGCTTATCCTGATAGCCACATTGGGGACCTCTCTACAGCCCAATACATGACGTTAACCCAGGACTTAGGGAGGCTAGGCAGTGCTTGGGCCTGAGCAGGTGCATTGGACACTGGAGCAGACATCCCTATTCTGCAGATCCTGGTGCAGTAACAGGAGAGGGCAGACCACACTGGCCAGCAAAGACGGAAGCCACCTGTAGGGTCAGATGCCAGGACACTCTGTACAGCGATCCCAGCTGAGAGTGAACCTAAAGTCGCAGTGGCCTAACATGGTGCCACCGCCTGTATACACACTGGTACAGGTATTTTGGGCCTGCCCTCACAGTCCCCCTGATTCCCGGCTGGTGCTCTAACACGAGGGCTGGTGAAACGCTCTCACTTTTGCATGTAGAAGACTTGCACTCCCTACTGCGGCCAGGGGCAAACACCCCCCCCCACCACCACCTCACTCTTTGCCTCCCGCCAAGACATCGGTGGTATCTCTGATGCCCAAATCTAAGACTTCAACTTCGGGGCTATCTGTACTCCCACCCTGGCGCGGAGGTAAAAAGTGGACCTGCAATGCCAGACCGCGCGTGTCGGGTGCCCTGGGAAGAGTTTGGCAACAAGGCAGACGTGCAAGAATCTTGGAAGGCGCCAACTTATTGGCTGCGCTCCTTTAGGTAAGTGACTTAATTTCTCTAAACCTGGCTTTGCACCTGCAAGGAGAAATACTGATCTCTTCCTCCTAGAGAGCATGTAGTGGGTACCCAGCGAGTGCACATGTCACTGGGCGCACCGACACTTGCATGCCAGGGTGCTCGATCTCCTCAAATGGAGTTTCCTTGCGCGCTGCTTTGCAGCTCCAAGTGCAGCCAGAAGCTAGCTCCGGGGATGAGTTGTGGGTGGGGGCAGAGGGGAGAGCCCCCGCAACTCCCTCCCGGCCCTTGGCTCGGCCTCGTGCGCGGTGCCATTGGCCGGGGCGGCCCGGTGGGCGGGAGGATGACATCAGCTGCAGGTCGGATTATAAAAGCACGAGCGGAGCCACGGGCTCAGAGCGCACCCAGCCGGCGCCGTGCAGCACTGGGACCCGCACTCACCCGGCAGCCCTGCCCGTCTGCCCGTCCGCCCCGCGCGCCCTCGCTGCTGCGGTTTTGCGCCCCTGGACCCCACCGGCACCATGCACCTCTCCCAGCTGCTCGCCTGCGCTCTGCTGCTCACGCTACTCTCGCTCCGGTCCTCCGAAGCCAAGCCCGGGGCGCCACCGAAGGTGGGTGCTGTCGCGGGGACATTGGGCCTGTGAGGGGCGTGGGAGGATGTGGCAAGCTGGAGGGACTGGAGAGTGCGAGAAGGCAGCCTTCTTCCCTGGATATATGTCCTCGAAGCCCAGACGCACGGGATCTACTCCCCTAACCTCGGGAGAAAGTCCACACATGCGCAGCCCACCACCTCATTGTGGCCAGCCCTGCAAGTGGCAAAGGAGGGGTGGGCAAAGGGCTCCCCGAAGGAGCGGACGACCACGACCCCGTGGCGGGTGGATGGGGGCTAAGTTGTGCGGCTTCTGTGAGGGTGCACTTGCGGCTAGGAAGGGACAACCGTGCTGACGGGCGCGTGGGGCTTGAGTATCAGGAGCTCGGCAAAGTCACCTGCACTGCAGCCGTGCGTCCCTTCACCTGCCCACTCTTTTCTTTGACAGGTCCCGCGAACCCCGCCAGGGGAGGACCTGGCTGAGCCCCAGGCTGCCGGAGGCGGTCAGAAGAAGGGCGACAAGACTCCTGGGGGCGGCGGCGCCAACCTCAAGGGCGACAGGTCGCGACTGCTCCGGGACCTGCGCGTAGACACCAAGTCGCGGGCAGCGTGGGCCCGCCTTCTTCATGAGCACCCTAACGCGCGCAAATACAAAGGAGGCAACAAGAAGGGCTTGTCCAAAGGCTGCTTTGGCCTCAAACTGGACCGGATCGGCTCCATGAGCGGCCTGGGATGTTAGTGCGGCGACCCCTGGCGGCGGTGAGTACCGCCAACCAGACCGTAGGGCGCTCCTGCTCGCAGAGCTTTAGCGCCCTGGGGAACCAAACCATACCCCCACAGCACAGGCGGGCTAGGTTCCTCGCTGATCCCTGGGCCCTGGGCCCTACCGACACCCAGCTGACCTCTAGAGCCGATCCAGGAGATCCTCGCATGGGACCGAGTTTATGCTAAGCAAATGCCTGCAACCCCATTTATCGTCCCAGAAGAAATAAGAGAAGGACGAAGTGGTCAGGGAGCCTTGGAAAGGTCAGAGTTGGCTTAGCCTGAATGAACCCATCTGCCTCCCTTCATAGAAGCAGAAACAGGCTTATGGGGTCCCATCCACCGAACTAGCACTTGACCTATTGTCCCTGAAGTGGGAATGATTGGAGAAGTGCCTGCCCCTTATGGTAGAGTATGGCCTCCATGAGCAGCGTCTGGGAGCCCTTCTCCGTGGGGCATCCTGATTCTCGTCCCTTCTTCAAACCCCTTGTGGGCAAACTGGTCTGTCCAGGGTCCTGATGCTGCTTAGCCCTGTGGTTCAGGGGAGAACTTCGGTGTTTGTGACCCTGTTTTAGGTCAGGGAAAGAAACAGACTAAAATAAATCCAGGTCTTGCTCCCAACCTCAAACTCCACAAAACAAATTTCCCCACTAACCCTGTCCCCCACATCCAAATTGCGCTGTGGGAACCCTGTTTCTGGCATGGCGTCTTCATCTTCCATCAGAAACCTCTGCCCTGTCCGCAGCCCCTGCCAGGTGTGCATGATGCCAATTTACTGCTACAAAATCTCCCTCTCCTGCTCTCCCCTCTCCATTCTTGCTGCCCACCAGTGCACATGGAATAACTTCTGACATTGACATTCAAGGACATTCAGGTCAGGCTCCTGCTGCTTTCTAGCCTTGCCTCCAGCCCAGCTGCTGTCCCACACCCTGTCTGTCCCACCCCAGGCATAAGGAGGCTGCTCTCTCCACCCAGAAAGCCTGGTCAGTGACCACAGCCTTCTCCCAGCAGGAAACAAGAGGGCCTCTCCAGAGCATTGCCTGAGACTTTTTTATGGTCCAAGACACTTTTGCAGGAAGCACATTTTGATTTGTGACCTATTCAAGTCCCCATATTGACTTATGCAATTTAAGGGCCAGACGCTGGCCTAAGGCAATCTGCAACCTACCTCACCCCCAAGGGAGTACTTAGAAATATTTGTCAATGACCAGAGGAACCTGCATACTCAGACTCATCCCACCCACCACCTGCCACCTTCTCTATGTTTTTGCCTCTTCCTTCCTCTCTCTGCAGCCAGGTTTGCTCAAGCTTTGTGCTTCTCCCCAGTTGCCTGTGATCTTGACTCTCCCCTGTATAGGGAGAGAAATGGTTCTGGCACTTAGATTCCAGCTCTCAGTGCTACCACTGCGATATCTTTTGCTCTCTTTTCTCCTGTCTGAACAACAAAGAGATGGAGTTTAAAGCTTCAAATGATCCGTTTGTGACTTAAGTGCCAAGCTCAGACTTCAGAATTTAAATGAAGTTAGTTAACCTTCTATGGGTTAGTGCCTGGAATGTACTTTCCTGAAAGTGCTGCCTTGTTCTTGGCATGGCTGGGTGTGGGCACCAGGTGGTGGCCACAAGGGTAGTGAGTTCAGATAGCTAAGACTCCTCTGACCAGGTCAGGAATCAACCTCCTGGAAGTTCTTAACTTAGATGACTGATAACAGCCTTAGCCTGCTCCACCCCACCCTCACCGACCCCATCCTGGTGAGAGAGTGGATCATCCTTCCTACACCTGCAGTCTCCTGGGAGAGATGCCCAGGATAAAGTCTTAAAGAGAAAAACAGGTTGTGGCCATTTCTCCACTCAGGGGGTTGACTTTAGTTTCAAGTACCACCATAATAACTGTTGCTGATGATGGTTATAGGTCTGGATTATAAACTACTAATGACAGAGACCGGATGGCTGAGACCTCAATGAACACTTTGCCCCTGGGCCCCAGGAACATCACAGGCATCTTTCATCTAAACTGATGGAGCAGCCAGAGAAAGGGAGAGAGAGCCGTACAGGCCTGGGGTCCCTCAGTGAGTGCTGTCCTTAGGGAGGACTGTGCACTGTCTTAGGAGGAGCTAACGGAGCACCATATACCCATTAGCAGTGACCCGGTACAGCTCTTTTCTGATCCTCTTAACCCAGCAACCAACTTGACTGACATTTCCTCAGGCTGTCAGACATCCTTTGCTCTCTACTCCAGGGGACCTGGACTAGCCCCTCTGCAGCAAGGGCAACTAGGGAAGGACATGCTCTTTACTGAGTGGTGGCTATGAGCCAGACCCTGCTGCTGCCTAATATGGGGCTCCTGTTGAATGCCAGCACCTTGGGAGGTGGCAATTATCTACTTTATGGGTGAGGAAAACAACACTCACAGCAACCCAGGGAGTGGAGTTTGAAGCTGAGATTTGAACCCAGAATTCCTGACTCCCCAGATGTTTCTCTTCTCTGTCCCTCTGTGGCCACCCCACACATAAATCAAGGCAAACCCCTGGCTGAGGGTTTGTATTGGAGCAAAAGAGTTTGAGGCGCGGGGGCTGGGGGGGGGCTTGCTTTTCCTTAGCATACCTCATGGTGTTGAGGGCAAAGCCTGGATCAGAGGAGGCGGGGGGGGGGGCCGGGGGGCTGGAAGACATGCTGGTTCTACCTGAGCTGGGGCAGCCAGTGCCAAGGGCAGCCGCACAAGCTGAGGGGGGGGGTGCAGAAGGCCTTTCCCCTTCACAGGAAAGCCTTTGTCAGAGGCCCAAGGGTAAAGGCAGAGGGACATTACTTTGTGCTGCTGTGGAAAAGGGGAGGAAGGTTCTAGAAATGGCCTGTAGGCTGGGTTTCTCAGCTAAAAGGCCAGAACTGAGTGTCCTGTGTCCACTCTGTTTCAGGATTGGGAACTTGCTCCATGTGCTGAGGTCATCCTTGGTCATCAGCCTCTAGCATCTGGAAACACCTCCAACGCAATGTGGCTTTTACATTTCTTCTTTTTTTTCCCCCCTGGTACTGGGAATACACAACACCAGCTGTTTTATTATTATTTTGGGGAGGGGAGGGTATGATTTTATTGTTTGGGGTTTTTTTTGAAAATTAAAAATAAAAAGTTATATATTATATATATATTATATACATGAAACACACACACCTACACCGACTTGATGACAAGGGACAGTTTTTAAGAGACTGACAACACCAGCTGTAAAACATTGCTGTTTGTAAATTCATGTCATGCATAAATGTATTTATGTTGTAAAGCTATTTATATTGTTTATAAAGAGATATTTATAAAAATTTTATTTATGTAACTAAATGAAAGAAGCCAATCATTGTAATGTTTTTGTCCTAACTAGTTGAAAAAATGTAAAAAAAAAAAAAGTCATTCCATGAACATATTGAAAACTGTCTTTATTTACTCATTGTATTTATTTTTTAGGAACTAGTCTGAGGCAGAAAGCAAATTTGATCACAAGATATTTACCTCCAAAATAGATCAGTCAGGTTCCCAATTCTGGATTTATTCATACCAGAATACCCCAGGGAGCTTAATAAAAAACGGATTCCTGTCCCTATGCTCCCTTTGCTCTACTGAATCTGAGTCTCTCAGGACAGGACTGGCCATGTAGACTTTGTCCCAGGTAATTCTGACTAGCTCCGCTCAAGCACCTGACCATTGGGAATCCAAGGCCACTGACCAAATTGAAATTGGATTCGGCTGCCTTAAGGGCTGCTCAATCCCACTCCACCTTTTCTGTGAAATGTCCAGAAATCTCAAGAAATGTGCCTTTGCTTTGGGGAGAATGTGTCTGGACATCTTGCAGGAGAACCAAGCCACCCTGGGCATCTCAACTACTCCCTTACAGACTTGCTCCCAGTGTCTAGAATGGGTCATTTCCTCTAATGACTGCCGCGCTGGGCTGGAAGCCTGAGGCTGAGGCCCTCAGAGGCAGAGTAGGTGTTGGCGGAGTTCACATCTGTGTCACGTGGCATGCTTTTGTGAGGGGGCTGTGGTTTTTCTCTTCATTTGAAGCTGTGACAATTACAGTTCCTAAGCCCCATGGAGCCTTGAATGTGAAACTATGAATAATGATTTTGAATTTATGAATATAATTTAGATTAGATCTCTTTGCCTGAAACCAATAAGAAATTTTTAAATAACTTGGAGGTAATCTCACCACATCCTCCGTTCCGCAACACTCCTGTGTAATGCTCCTTGTTCCCAACAGGGGAAAGCAGAGACCTAAAAAGCTTCTCAGGCTGCTGACATCAGGTGCATTGGAAGCACTCTGTTCAGGGGAGTTGGGAACTTCAGGCCAGATCCAGGGGAAGAATTCTAGAAGAAAACTGGCCAGAGAAGGTGGCCAGTAGTACCTGGTCTTCCTGCTGGCATGAGGAGCCCCTTGTTCCTTGCAGCCCTCCAGCAGCAGGTTCTCAGAGATGCATAGCCAACTCAGACATATTCCTGCTGGGGAAGGTGGGATATCCCCACCCCTCCACTTCTGCCAGTGCCCTTGGAGACAGCTCTCCAGTCCCGGGCTTGGCACCTTCCTGTCTCATTCCCTCTGTGACTGGAGATGTGGTGTCCATGCTGGTGAGGATGAGGGCTCCAGCACCCAGGCCTCACTAGGGCTTTGGCTCATGTGCTGTCCACAGACCCCCTTGAAAGGGGAAGTGGAGGAATGTGACAGGGCCAGGGAGGTAGAAGACCGGGCAGGTTTTACCCTGCAGGTTTCACTGGTGACAATGCAGGTGCTCTTCCAAAAGCCCAGAGACAGAGGGACAGTGAATTCTGGGATCCAGGGAACTACTACTAGATGCTGAAGGATTTCCCAGTGGACAGCACCTGGGCTGCCAGCATCCAAAAGCACATAAGGATTCTCAGCCCCAAACTATAAGTACTATTCTCTTGAGTAGCATGCATCACATGCAAACGACACAGACCACCCTCTGCTGCCAGTGTCCACCTCTCTGGGCCAAAGCCAGCCCCTCAATCTGTGGGTTAGTAGATGGTGGGGCAGCCAGGCCTCCTTGTACATCCACCTTAGAGTCCTGTCACTGCCTCCTGAGCAGCAACCGGGACATGTCATTCAGCCAGGGAGTTCTGCTGGAAATCCAGGAAATACTGACAAACATTCAGTAAGTACCTGGAAATGTTGGGAAGCCTCCAGGGATTCCCCTGGTGATACTGTCAAGAACTCTGAGCATCTGGTATGGGTCCTACCTCCTTTCTGGCCTCTTGCATCTCATCTCAAGCTACCCGCAGAACCTGCAGCTTCGCTCCCACATGGGGTGACAGCAACAACCAGGACCTGCTTAAAGACTGGCTGTAGGGGTGGGGAGCCTGGAGTCCTGGTCTTCTGGGACAGGCTGGAAAACTCTGCAGGGTTAGAAGCTGCCCTATGAAGGGCCAGGTTGGCAGAGTAGTGGGGGTCAGGTGTTGTAGGGCCCAGGAAACCTGTCCTTTGCTGAACTGCTCAGTTACTGGGGGCCAGAGAGTGGTGGGCAATATAGGAAGAGTTACAGAGACTGTCACTCTGTCAGCTTTCCATTTTCTTATCTCCTTATGTGGTGTTTCCACTTTCATGTCTTATGCTTCTCTCTCTAACAAGTGTAATTTAATTTTGGCTTACTATTTTGTACTATTAACTTTAGTATTATTGAGATTGGGTTCAATATTTGTATACTTTCTCCTTATAACAATAATTATCATTAAATTTATCAATTCCTATGTTTTAATCAATTTTCTACATGACACACGGATACTTTGAAAATAAGATGAATACCTATTTGCATGGTTTGAAATTCTGTAAACTTTTAATCCATTTTACTTTGTGTACTATTATGTCCAAATATTCTGACTCTATTTAAAAAAATTTTTTTAGTTGTAGGTGGATAAATACCTTTTTTTATTATTATGTGGTGCTGAGGATCAAACCCAATGCCTTACACATGTAAGGAAAGTGTTCTACCACTGAGCTACTACCCCAGCCCCTGACTCTATTTTTAATTCACTGAAGACTGATAATAGTGTTGAAAAAACATACTGTGATTTTATTTTTTCTATTCTCATATTTTAATAGTTTTAGTTGTTATTTATTCAGCACATGAGAGTTCAGTGTTAATATATGTATTAGATAGGATATGTGAAGGTATGCTAAGGTAACAAACCACCTCAAATCTCAGTGGCTTAGGGCTGGGGATGTGGCTCAAGTGGTAGCACACTGGCCTGGCATGCGTGTGGCTCGGGTTCGATTCTCAGCACCACATACAAACAAAAATGTTGTGTCCGCCTGAAAAATAAATATTAAAAAAAAATTCTCTCGTTCTCACTCTCTCTTTAAAAAAAAAAAAATCTCAGTGGCTTAAATTCTAAAGATTTGTTTCTTGTTCATACAAAGTCTGCTATGGATGCCCATGCAACCCTCCAGGGCAGCTCCTCACCCTACCTATGTTAGCCCATGCACCTATGTGCTAGTCAGCTTTCTGTCATTATAAAGAAATACCTGAGATAATTAACTTATAAAGAGAAAAGGTTTGTTTGGGCTCACAGTTTTGGAGGTTCTATGATTGGTTGGCCCCATTGCTTTGGGCCTATGGTGAGGCAGCACATCATGGTGGGAGTGTGTGGTAGAACAAAATCAATCACCTTACAAGCCAGGGAACAAAAATATTGAGGAGGGGGCTGCAGACCCTGATTGCCTTCAAGAGCATGCCCCCAGTGACCCAATGACTTCCACTAGGCCCGACTTCTTAAGGGTTCCACCATCTCCCAATAGGGCCATCCTAACGACCAAGCCTTTAACACAAGAGCCTTGGGGATTTTCATGATCCAAATCCACATGTGTTTTCTCCATCAACAAAGCAGGGGAAGAGAGCGTGCCAGGAGGTCAGACCATGAAGGACTTCCACCCAGACACCATATGAGACTTATGTTCATATTTGATTGGCCAAGCAGTGCCGCCCTCCTTGTGCCTGGAATGGAGGAGGCCTGGATTCCAACCTGCAGGAGCGGAGCTGTGCTGATGCAGTTTCCACCAAGCCCACTCCTTTCTTTGGTGCCACACACCCCCTAGGAAATTCTTTTTTAGGTCATGTGAAAATAAATTCCTGCTTTATTTTTATTTGTGCTTGATAGCTTTGCTCAAACTTTGATTCCTTCCCTTTTTGTGTTTTTAAAAGTTTAGGTGTATTTGTAATATAGTAGATTAAAATATATGTACTTTAAGAAAATTTACCTTTTAACCAGGAGACCTAGATGCTTCACATTTATCGTCATTAATGCTTATGCTGACTTCTGACTTCATCTTGAGTATCAAGGTTCTTTAATCCCGCCCCCCATAGATGGTTGTGCTTGCTTGTATCTTCTGCAATGATTTGGAAAGTAGACATCCTGTTTTCAATTCTGTTAGTGGTTCCTTGAGGTTTTTCATGAAAATTATTAAACCTACCTTTATACTGTTATCAGAATTGAAATCACAGAAGCTTCAGGCTCCTTTAGAAGAGAGACAAAAGAATTGAGTCCATTTACTTCTTCCTTGTCTCCTCTACCCTTTAAGGATCTCCATGAATACAGTCTGAGACACTCCCCTTAAATGGATCATTAAAAGCACCAAAGCCTCTCCTCCCCTTCGGAATCTTCCTGGGTCTGCTTACACGTCAGTTCTTCAGACTTCTGACCCTGACCCTCTTCCAATTCAGGCCTGATCACATGCTCCTCTTTGTCTGGGGCTGGCTCCCCTGCTCCTGCCCGCCTTCTATGACAGTTGCCCCCTCCTGCAGGCCTGGGTTTGGACTTCAGCCCAATGCAAGGGCATGTGAATGTGTCTTAGTCCATTTCTGTTGTTCTGACAAAAATTCATAAAGTATACAGGTTCATTTGGCTCCCAGTTCTAGAGGCTAGAAGTACAATAGCATAGTGTTGGCACCAGCTTGGCATTTCCCTTCCCTTGCAGGCTGGGAGACCTCACTATCTTTAAGATGATGCAGTATTGGTATTGTCCTTGTGCCAAGACGCACAAGGGTCTGCTCTGAGCCTGACCCTAGAAAAGCTGTGGTCAGTATGGTACTAGTACATGCAGACTCTGTCCCCAAGGACACAGGCCTCCCAAACTGTGAGC